TCTTGCGATGATTCCTTCTCTACTTGGGAGTCCTTCTCGTCTTGCGATTCCTTCTTCTCTTCTTGCGATTCCTTCTTCTCTTGTGGCTCCTCTTGCGATTCCTTCTCCTCTACCTTTACTGCCTCCTCCTGTCCTTCTTCCCCACTCTGCACTTCGTCATCCTCCGCTTCAGAAGGACTTTCCTCCTTTTTCGCTGCGTTGCTGAAGAAAAGATTCTCGACATCGTCCAGGGTTTGAAGGAGAGCCTCGTTCTCGCCCAAGTCGGTCACTTCCTCGCCGTCCTTTTCGACCTCCTCGACGCCGCTCTTCAGGGCATCCTCCAGCGCCATCTCCGAGAACCGATGTCTGTGCCGAGGGAAGAACGGGGTTGGGATCGGGCTGCGAAGAGTGGAACGGGGGAAGGAGAGGGAAGGAGTCGGGTCGCTCACCTGAGGCCGAAAGGCATCTTCTTCTTGTCCTGGAGGCTGTTGCGGACGTCGCGGAGAAAGTCGTCGAAGAACAGGTTGTGCACGTGGAGGTGGTTGAAAAACTCCATCTGTTCGTTCACCGACACACCTGATCGAGAAATAAAGAAACCCAAGATGAAGCATTTGCGTCACCGAACGGAGACGCGACACGAAGCGGGTCCCGATGCGGACCTGAATTTTCGTTGACGGGTGCGGGTTCGTCCTCTTCGATGGTTTCTTCCGCGATGAGTCCACCTCGATGTTCGAGAGGGGAAACGTCTTCGTTCAATCGCTTCTTCTTGTCATCGTCGTTGTCCTCCTCTTTGCTCTTGTCCTTTTCGTCATCGTCCTCTTCCTTCCTCTTCTTGTCGTCCTCGTCGACCTTTTCCTTCTTTTTCTTCTCCTCTTCCTCTTTCTCCTTATTCTTTTTCTTCTCCTCTTCTTCCTTGTCTTTTTCCTCCTTACTCGTATCGTCCTCTTCCTTGTCCTTCTTATTCTTCTCGTTGTCCTCTTTTTCGTCTTCCTCTTCCTTGCTCTTCTTATCCTCTTCCTCGATTTCGCCATCCTTTCCCTCTTCATCTTCTCCTTCTTTCTTGGGGAACTGTTCTTCATCCACTTCTTCCTTGGACTGCTCCTTCTTCTGCTTCTCCTCTTCGTCGTCGGGGTCTTCGATTTTTCCGGCGGGCTCCTCCGACTCCAATTGTTCCTTTTCGCTGCTTTCCTTCGCTTCGGATTCGCGTTCGTCTGCCTTGTCTTCGTCCTCCTCTTGCTTCACTTCCTCGGGCTTCTTCTCGACTGCTTCTTCGTCCTTCTCGTCGACTTCCGTTGCTTCTTGCTTGTCTTCTGGTTCTTGCTTGTCTTCCGGTTCTTGCTTGTCTTCCGGTTCTTGATTGTCTTCCGGTTCTTGCTTGTCTTCCGGTTCTTGCTTGTCTTCCGGTTCTTGCTTGTCTTCCGGTTCTTGCTTGTCTTC